GAGGTTGTGGAGAAAAAGGAACCTTTCTGCACTGTTGGTGGGAATGTAAATGGGTGCAGCCACTATGGAAAATAGTTTGGAGGGTCCTCAAACAATTAAAAATAGAACTAGCATATGATCCAGCAATTCCATTTCTAGGTATTTATCTAAAGAAAACAAAAACACTAACTCTAAAAGATACATGCACCTCCATGTTCACTGCAGCTTTATTTACAGTTGTTAAGATATGGAAACAACCTAAGTGTCCATTCACAGATGAATGGATAAAGAAATTGTGGTGTATATATACAATGAAATATTACTCAGCCATAACAAACAATGAAATATTGCCATTTGCAAAACCATGATGGATCTCAAGGTCATTAAATAAAATAAGTCAGACAGAAGATGACAATGCAATATAATCTCTCTCATATGTAGAATCTTGAAATAAACGGGCTCATAGATATGGAGAACAGACTGTGGATGGCAGACTTGGGGGATGGGGTGCGTGGGATAAATGGGTGAAGGGGGTCAAAAGGTTAAAAGGAAGAAAAATAAAGGGAAACAATTAAACATTTATTTTACTTTTCTTATATGAACTGTACCACTGGATAACCAAAGAGATGAGAAGATGTTCTCCTTGTAAAAATATTCCAACTAATACATTTCATAAATGATAGAAATGGAATATCACCATTTTGTAACCACCCACGAATAATGAGGTACCCACTGAGTATCAATGGCTACTAACATTCCAAAAAGAGACAAGATATTATATGCTTCCTAAAGAAAGAATATGTCATTTCCTTTAATCTTGCCAAAGCAACTGAACCTGAGTTCCTCTGTATCCATTCCTCTGTATCCAGCTGTGAATTTAAAAAATATACAACTGAAAAAAGAACACGTGAACCTATACCATAAACATGAAATCAGCAAAATCCAGACATGGGAAACCGCAGCTCAATCAGCTCATGTTCTTCAACTGATGATTGTAAGGAAAAGAAAGAAATGGAGGAGGAACCTGTAAATCATTTAAAAGGCACATGATTTTTTTTTAATCAGCAAGAGTAAACTCCAGTGCCCAGAAATTCACACTTGTGTGTGTCACTTCCCTGATTACCATGAAAGTCAAGATAGCAGTTTATTCAAGAAAGAAAGAAGAGATTTGGGGATGGTTGACAAAGTCCTATTTCCTGACTCAAATACAAGAGTGTTTACCTTATAATAGTTTATTAAATAATACATTTGTTTTTCTGTGAAAGAGAGGAAGGAAAGAAGGGAGGGAGGAAAGGAGGGAAGGAAGGAAGGAAGGAAGGAGTGAGGTGGGTGAGAGCAAACTTGGATTGGGCTATGGAAATCATTCCAGAAGGTAACATGAATCTATAAGAACAATTAAAGAAAAACAAAAATGATAAATAAGAAGGCTAATATAATGAAGGCTATAAATACGTACTTTCTGTTATGAACTGAACTGTGCCCCCCCCCCCCACAAACTTCGTATGTTGAAGCCTTAACCCCTAGTACCTCACAATGTGACTATAGTTGGACACAGGGCCTTTAAAGGTGATTAAGTTAAAATGAGTCCATTAGGGTGGGCCCTAATTCATCCTGATTGGTGTTCTTGTAAGAGGAAACGTGGACATACAAGAGACACGAGGCATGCACACATAGAGAGAAAAGACCATGTGAAGAGAGAAAAGACCATGTGAAGACACACAAAGAAGGGGGCCATCTGTGAGCCAAGGAGAGAGGCCTCAGAAGAAACCTAATCTGCCAGCACCTTGATCTTGGACTTCTAGCCTCAAGAACTGTGAGAAATAAATTTCTGTTGTTTAAGCCACCCAGTCTTACGGTATTTTGTGCTGGCAGCTCTAGCAAATTGATATACTGTCCTTTTTTCTCTCAGTTTTCTTAAAATCATAAAAAAATATACAAAAGAAATAAAAAGAAATATTCATAAATATTATGTAATATTACTGATTATTGTAACATTATTGATATAATACATATGACCAAAAGAAACACAAAATAGGGGGAAGGGAATAGAGCTATATAAGAGTAAAACTTTGTGAATCTCAGTGGAATTAAGTTACTATTTACATGAGGTATCTAAAATAGTCAAACTCATAAAGCAGAGAGTAGACTGGTGGTTGCTAGAGGCTGGGAAGAGGATGAAATGGGAGTTGTATAAAGTTTCAGTTATGCAAGATGGATAAGTACTATAGATGTTCTATGCAACATAGTGCCTATAAATGTTATAGGCAACATAGTGCCTATAACAATATGGTATTGTGCACTAAAACATTTGTTAAGAGGGCAATTCTCATGTTAAGAATTCTCACCACAAAAAAGGAAAAAAAAAAAGAGAAAAGGAACACAAGGAAACTTTTGGAAGTGATGGATGTGTTTATTGCCTTCATTGTCGTGATGGTATCATGGTATATGCATATGTCCAAGCTCATCAAATTGTATACTTTAAATGTATAGGGTTTTTTTGCATATCAAATATACCTCAAAATAAGATGTTTTTTAAAAAAAGATAAATAGAAAATATCAAGGAAACTAGAAGAAGGGTCTTTCAAAAGATCAATAAAATTAACAAATCTTTACCTAGATTGACCAAGAATAAAGGAGAGAAAAATCAAAGTAAGGGATGGAAGAAGGGCCATCACTACTGCCTTTGCAGGGGGGAAAAAAAGGATTATAAGGGAATACTGTGAAAACTTCCATGCCAACAACTTAGATAATTTAGAGGAAATGTATAAATTCCTACAATGGCACAAACTACCAAACTGATTCAAGAAGAAATGGAAAATCTGAGTATGCCATAACAAGAGATGAAATTAGTAATAAAGTTTCCACAAAGCAAAGCTCAGACCCAGATGGCTTCAATTCTACCAAACATTAGAAGAATAAATACCAATCCTTCACAAACTCTCCCCAAAAATAGAATGGAAAGGACCATTTCCCAAATCTTTCTCTGAGGGTAGTACTGATGATATAAAAAGCAGATAAAGACATCACAAGAAAAGAAAATTACACTAGTAAATCCTTTTTTTATAAATGCAAAAATTTCAACAAAATACTACTAAACCAAACCTTACAACACGTAAAAAAAGAATTATACAGCATGAAATAGTTGCATCCTGCTAAAGAGGAATTTGAGAACTACTGATCTGGTACACAGAGGTGTGGGAGCTAATCCTGTTTCTGTTAAATCTAGACTGGATAGGAGATTAAGAAGTGCAAACTACCATGTATAAAATAAATAAGCTACAAGGATATATTGTACAGCAAAGAGAATAGAACCAATATTTTATAATAACTATAAATGGAGCATTACCTTTAAAAATTGTGAATCACTGTACTGTACACCAGAATATATAATATTGTATATCAATCACAGCTCAATAATTTTTTTTTTTAAAATCTAGACTGGGTCACCTTATTTGTTAAAAAGAATATTAAATTCTGACAAAGTAGAATCAAATCTGATCATTGCGCTGCATATAAATTTTTGGAACATCTATGAAATTTAAAATTTTACTTTAAAGTACATTTAATATGAGATGATTAATAATAAGCAAATCCTGATCATTTTTTGTAAGTGTAATATGAAAAACTAGGTCACTTATTGTTATATTGTTTATAACATTAAAATATTCTCTATATGAATTATTTGGCTTTAAATTTCCTTTCTTATTCATTCTCATTTATTATATTTTACCTTTAAAAGTAATATATGTTTACACTAAAATATTAATTTTATAAATTTTATGATTGGCCTTAAATTTTTCAGTTCATATTCCCATTGCCTAAGTTTGAAGGCCACATTCAAATAAGAGAGGAAGGAGTCAAAAGTCCCCAATTAACAATCTTGTCCTTTACCAAACCATGCATTCCTCACAAGAAGTAACAATTTTAATTCAATCTGAGATAAACCATAAAATAACAATAAAATATTATAATTTTTTGAGAAACATACAATTATAATATTCTACCAATTCTAGGAACTTTGAGATTTACTTTCAGTTCTACCACTAGAATAAGTCTAAACATGTTTGATCCTGATTTCCTCCAAAGAACTGCAGTCATCTGGTTTACTTAAGGGCATATTTTAATACTGGATTAATGCCACATATTCTGGTATTTTTTATTCCTTACATTCTGATATAACACTTTAATGAAATTACGGTAAATAAAATTCTCCCTCACTGAACATGGGAACCATAAATTCACCAGCCGTTTTAAAAAAAGAATTTTTGTTTTGTAAACAATAAATGATATTGTTAATAAGAAATTACCAAAAGCCTAGACATATAGTGATTTAAAAACTGGAAATTATCAACTACTAAAATAATAAGCATACATACAACTTCTAGTCTCAACACAAGTACTGCTGTAAGGATCTGATTTTTAAAGCTGGTGGAAACAGAGTTCATAATTTAAGTGATACGTAAGGTAAATTTATATGTAAATTTATAGAAAGACATTTTTCTACTTGCGACCTTAAATAATACTTAAGCAATTTATTGTCTTTTAATTTCAAATATATGCTGTTGTTACTGTTGTTGCTAAATCTCAAGATGCACAAATGCACGTTTAATGTGCAGTTTGAATTAATCATGATGCTTTAGGTAAAAATAAATTTTCCGCTTGAATCAACATTTCACTTTTGGAAATTAACAGATAGGATAAAATTAGAAGTTAAAAAGTCTATTAATTATAAATTTTAAAAAATGAAAGAACTGTAAATGTCAATAAACAGAAAGCTTAGAGACAAAATTCATAAATTTGATATCGTCAGCCTTATCTTTGTAGAGATCAAATAGCATTTCAAGGAAAACTGATTTACCTTCATTATTTGTTCTATTTTACCTGCTGATGCTTATAAATTTATAGCAATGTAAATATATAAAATTTCTCCTCAAAACAGTTCATGTTGAAGAAAAATACATACTTCTCTTAAGATTCAATATGGCTAATTGCAATGAATTTATGTCAAAACAATAACTTACCTGAAGTCCCAAGCAGTGTGGAAGGGATTTTTAACATTCACAATGATTTCTTTCCATTTATAACACGGAGATCTGCATTTTATACTTGCCTAAGGTAAAAAATATATATAAAACATACAATATGATAATAACAAAAAATAATAACCTCAGTTATAAAAAACAAACTTGGGCTTCCCTGGTGGCGCAGTGGGTGAGAGTCCGTGTGCCGATGCACGGGACACGGGTTCGTGCACTGGTCCAGGAAGATCCCACGTGCCGCAGAGCGGCTAGGCCTGTGAGCCATGGCTGCTGAGTGGCTAGGCCCATGAGCCATGGCTGCTGAGCCTGTGCATCCAGAACCTGTGCTCCGCAAAGGGAGAGGCCACAATAGTGAGAGGCCCGCGTATCACAAAAAAAAATAAAAAATAAATAAAAAACAAACTTAAAGTACCTAAAAAACTGTCCATTTAAATAACATAGTGATATCAATTTTTTTTTAACATCTTTATTGGATCTTGTCCTGGTGTGCTAGAGTCCTCGGAGAGAATCTGCTGGTCTTGATTCACTGGCGAGGGCAGTCAGTGCCCCCGGGAGTGCCCAGATCAGAAACATGCTCTCCCTGGCCCCTAGATGGAGTGGATTGGGTTATTACAAAGTTCTGGGGAAGGGAAAGCTCCCAAAGCAGCCTGTCATCGTGAAAGCCAAATTCTTCAGCAGAAGAGCTGAGGAGAAGATTAAGGGTGTCGGTGGGGCTTGTGTCCTGGTAGCTTGAAGCCACGTGGTGGGAGATTCATTAAATGATAACAAGTGCTTTAAAAAAAAAAAAAACAAAAAAAAAAAACATCTTTATTGGAGTATAATTGCTTTACAATGGTGTGTTAGTTTCTGCTTTATAACAAAGTAAACCAGTTAAACATATACATATGTTCCCATATCTGTTCCCTCTTGCAGCTCCCTCCCTCCCACCCTCCCTTTCCCCCCCCTCTAGGTGGTCACAAAGCACTGAGCTAATCTCCCTGTGCTATGCGGCTGCTTCCCACTAGCTATCTATTTTAGGTTTGGTAGTGTATATATGTCCATGCCACTCTCTCGCTTCGTCACAGCTTACCCTTCCCCCTCCCCATATCCTCAAGTCCATTCTCTACTAGGCCTGTGTCTTTATTCCTGTCCTACTCCTAGGTTCTTGATGACATTTTTTTTTTCTTAAATTCCATATATATGTGTTAGCATAGGGTATTTGTCTTTCTCTTTCTGACTTACTTCACTCTGTATGACAGACTCTAGGTCCATCCACCTCATTACAAATAGATCAATTTTGTTTCTTTTTATGGCTGAGTAATATTCCATTGTATATATGTGCCACTCTTCTTTACCCATTCACACGATGATAGACACTTAGGTTGTTTCCATCTACAGGCTACGGAAAATAGAGCTGCAATGAACATTTTGGTACATGACTCTTTTTGAATTATGGTTTTCTCAGGGTATATGCCCAGTAGTGGGATTGCTGGGTCGTATGGTAGTTCTATTTGTAGTTTTTGAAAGAACCTCCATACTGTTCTCCGTAGTGGTTGTACCAATTCACATTCCCACCAGCAGTGCAAGAGTGTTCCCTTTCCTCCACACCCTCTCCAGCATTTATAGTTTCTAGATATTTTGATAATGGCCATTCTGTCTGGTGTGAGATGATATCTCATTGTAGTTTTGATTTGCATTTCTCTAATGATTAATGATGTTGAGCATTCTTTCATGTGTTTGTTGGCAGTCTGTATATCTTCTTTGGAGAAATGTCTATTTAGGTCTTCTGCCCATTTTTGGATTGGGTTGTTTGTTTTTCTGTTATTGAGCTGCATCAGCTGCTTATAAATTTTGAAAATTAATCCTTTGTCAGTTGCTTCATTTGCGAATATTTTCTCCCATTCTGAGGGTTGTCTTTTGGTCTTGTTTATGGTTTCCTTTGCTGTGCAAAAGCCTTGAAGTTTCATTAGGTCCCATTTGTTTATTTTTGTTTTTATTTCCATTTCTCTAGGAGGTGGGTCAAAAAGGATCTTGCTGTGATTTATGTCATAGAGTGTTCTGCCTATGTTTTCCTCTAACAGTTTGATGGTTTCTGGCCTTATACTTAGATCTTTAATTCATTTTGAGCTTATTTTTGTATACGGTGTTAGGAAATGACCTAATCTCATACTTTTACATGTACCTGTCCAGTTTTCCCAGCACCACTTATTGAAGAGGCTGTCCTTTCTCCACTGTACATTCCTGCCTCCTTTATCAAAGATAAGGTGACCATATGTGCGTGGGTTTATCTCTGGGCTTTCTACCCTGTTTCATTGATCTATCTTTCTCTTTTTGTACCAGTACCATACTGTCTTGACTACTGTAGCTTTCTAGTATAGTCTGAAGGCAGGGAGCCTGATTCCTCCAGCTCCGTTTGTCGTTCTCAAGATTGCTTTGGCTATTCGGGGTCTTTTGTGTTTCCATACATACTGTGAAATTTTTTCTTCTAGTTCTGTGAAAAATGCCAGTGGTAGTTTGATAGGGATTGCATTGAATCTGTAGATTGCTTTGGGTAGTATAATCGTTTACACAATGTTGATTCTTCCAATCCAAGAACATGGTATATCTCTCCATCTATTTGTATCATCTTTAATATTTTTCATCAGTGTCTTATGACTTTCTGCATACAGGTTTTTTTTGTCCTTAGGTAGGTTTATTCCTAGATATTTTATTCTTTTTGTTGCAATGGTAAATGGGAGTGTTTTCTTGATTTCACTTTCGGATTTTTTAACATTAGTGTATAGGAATGCCAGAGATTTCTGTGCATTAATTTTGTCTCCTGCTACTTTACCAAATTCATTGATTAGCTCTAGTAGTTTTCTGGTAGCATCTTTGGGATTATCTATGTATAGTATCATGTCATCTGCAAACAGTGACAGCTTTACTTCTTCTTTTCCTATTTGGATTCCTTTTATTTCCTTTTCTTCTCTGATTGCTGTGGCTTAAACTTCCAAAACTATGTTGAATAAGAGTGGTGAGAGTGGGCAATCTTGTCTTTTTCCTCATCTTAGTGGAAATGCTTTCAGTTTTTCACCATTGAGGATGATGTTGGCTGTGGATTTGTCATATATGGCCTTTAATATGTTGAGGAAAGTTCCCTCTGTGCGTACTTTCTGCATGGTTTTTATCATAAATGGGTGTTGAATTTTGTCGAAAGCTTTCTCTGCATCTATTGAGATGATCATATGGTTTTTCTCCTTCAATTTGTTAATATGGTGTATCACGTTGATTGATTTGCATATATTGAAGAATCCTTGCATTCCTGGAATAAACCCCACTTGATCATGGTGCATGATCCTTTTAATGTGCTGCTGGATTCTGTTTGCTAGTATTTTGTTGAGGATTTTTGCATCTAGGTTCATCAGTGATATTGGCCTGTAGTTTTCTTTCTTTGTGACATCTTTGTCTGGTTTTGGTATCAAGGTGATGGTGGCCTCGCAGAATAAGTTTGGGAGTGTTCCTCCCTCTGCTATATTTGGGAAGAGTTTGAGAAAGATAGGTGTTAGCTCTTCTCTAAATGTTTGATAGAATTCGCCTGTGAAGCCATCTGTTCCTGGGCTTGGTTTGTTGGAAGATTTTTAATCACAGTTTTAATTTCAGTGCTTGTGATTGGTCTGTTCATATTTTCTATTTCTTCCTGATTCAGTCTTGGCACAGGTTGTGCATTTCTAAGAATTTGTCCATTTTTTCCAGGTTGTCCGTTTTATTGGCATAGCGTTGCTTGTAGTAATCTCTCATGATCTTCTGTATTTCTGCAGTGTCATTTGTTACTTCTCCTTTTTCATTTCTAATTCTATTGATTTGAGTCTTCTCCCTTTTTCTCCTGATGAGTCTGGCTAATGGTTTATCAATATTTTTTATCTTCTCAAAGAACTAGCTTTTAGTTTTATTGATCTTTACTATTGTTTCCTTCATTTCCTTTTCATTTATTTCTGATCTGATCTTTATGATTTTTTTCCTTCTGCTAACTTTGGGGTTTTTTTGTTCTTCTTTCTCTAATTGCTTTAGGTGCAACGTTACGTTGTTCATTCGAGATGTTTCCTGTTTCTTAAGGTAGGATTGTATTGCTATAACTTCCCTCTTAGAACTGCTTTTGCTCCATCCCATAGGTTTTGGGTTGTCGTGTCTCCACTGTCATTTGTTTCTAGGTATTCTTTTATTTCCTCTTTGATTTCTTCAGTGATCACTTCGTTATTAAGTAGTGTATTGTTTAGCCTCCATGAGTTTGTATTTTTTACAGATCTTTTCCTCTAATTGATATCTAGTCTCATAGCATTGTGGTCGCAAAATATACTTGATACAATTTCAATTTTCTTAAATTTACCAAGGCTTGATCTGTGACCCAAGATATGATCTATCCTGGAGAATATTCCATGAGCACTTGAGAAAAATGTGTATTCTATTGTTTTTGGATGGAATGTCCTATAAATATCAATTAAGTCCACCTTGTTTAATGTGTCACTTAAAGCAAGTGTTTCCATATTTATTTTCATTTTGGATGATCTGTCCATTGGTGTAAGTGGGGTGTTAAAGTCCCCTACTATGAATGTGTTACTGTCGATTTCCCCTGGTATGGCTGTTAGCATTTGCCTTATGTATTGAGGTGCTCCTATGTTGGGTGCATAAATATTTACAATTGTTATATCTTCTTCTTGGATCGATCCCTTGATCATTATGTAGTGTCCTTCTTTGTCTCTTCTAATAGTCTTTATTTTAAAGTCTATTTTGTCTGATATGAGAATTGTTACTCCAGCTTTCTTTTGGTTTCCATTTGCATGGAATATTTTTCTATCCCCTTACTTTCAGTCTGTGTGTGTCTCTAGGTCTGAAGTATGTCTCTTGTAGACAGCATATATATAGGTCTCGTTTTTGTATCCATTCAGCCAATCTGTGACTTTTGGTGGGAGCATTTAATCCATTTACATTTAAGGTAATTATCGATATGTATGTTCCTATTCCTATTTTCTTAATTGTTTTGGGTTTGTTATTGTAGGTCTTTTCCTTCTCTTGTGTTTCTTGCCTAGAGAAGTTCCTTTAGCATTTGTTGTAAAGCTGGTTTGGTGGTGCTGAACTTTCTCAGCTTTTGCTTGTCTGTAAAGGTTTTAATTTCTCCATCAAATCAGAATGAGATCCTTGCTGGGTAGAGTAATCTTGTTTGTAGGTTTTCTCCTTCATCACTTTAAATATGTCCTGCCAGTCCCTTCTGGCTTGCAGAGTTTCTGCTGAAAGATCAGCTGTTAACCTTATGGGGATTTCCTTGTGTGTTATTTGTTGCTTTTCCCTTGCTGCTTTTAATAGGTTTTCTTTGTATTTAATTTTTGAAAGTTTGATTACTATGTGTCTTGGCGTGTTTATCCTTGGATTTATCCTATATGGGACTGTCTCTGCTTCCTGGAGTTGATTAACTATTTCCTTTCCCATATTAGGGAAGTTTTCAACTGTAATCTCTTCAAATATTTTCTCAGTCCCTTTTTTTTTCTCTTCTACTTCTGGAACCCCTATCACTCGAATGTTGGTGCGTTTAATGTTGTCCCAGAGGTCTCTGAGACTGTCCTCAGTTCTTTTCATTCTTTTTTCTTTATTCTGCTCTACAGTAGTTATTTTCACCATTTTATCTTCCAGGTCATTTATCCGTTCTTCTGCCTCAGTTATTCTGCTATTGATCCCATCTAGAGTATTTTTAATTTCATTTATTGTGTTGTTCATCGTTGCTTGTTTCATCTTTCGTTCTTCTAGGTCCTTGTTAAACGTTTCTTGCATTTTGTCTATTCTGTTTCCAAGATTTTTGATCATCTTTACTATCATTATTCAGAATTCTTTTTCAGGTAGACTCCCTATTTCCTCTTCATTTGTTACGTCTGGTGGGTTTTTCTCTTGCTCCATATGTTGTGTGTTTTTCTGTCTTCTCATTTTGCTTAATTTACTCTGTTTGGGGTCTCCTTTTTGTAGGCTGCAGGTTTGTAGTTCCTGTTGTTTTTGGTACCTGTCCCCAGTGGCTAAAGTTGGTTCAGTGGGTTGTGTAGGCTTCCTGGTGGAGGGGACTAGTGCCTGCGTTCTGGTGGATGAGGCTGGATCTTGTCTTTCTGGTGGGCAGGTCCACGTCTGGTGGTGTGTTTTGGGGTGTCTGTGGACTTATTATGATTTTAGGCAGCCTCTCTGCTAATGGGTGCGGTTGTGTTCCTGTCTTGCTAGTTGTTTGGCATAGGGTGTCCAGCACTATAGCTTGCTGGTTGTTGAGTGAAGCTGGGTGCTGGTGTTGAGATGGAGAACTCTGTGAGATTTTCGCCATTTGATATTATGTGGAACTGGTAGGTCTCTTGTGGACCAGTGTCCTGAAGTTGGCTCTCCCACCTCAGAGGCAGAGTGCTGAGTCTTGGCTGCAGCACCAAGAGCCTTTCATCCACATGGCTCAGAATAAAAGGGAGAAAAAGAAGAAAGAAAGAAAGAAGAAAGAAAGAGAGAAAGAAAGAGATAAAGAAAGAAAGAAAAGAAAAAGAAAGAAATAAAGAAAGAAAAGAAAACGAAAGAAAGAAAGAAAGAAAAAGAAAGAAAGAAAGAAAGAAAGGAAGGAAGGAAGGAAGGAAGGAAGGAGGGAAGGAGGGAGGGAGGGAGGGAGGAAGGAAGGAAGGAAGTAGGGAAGGAAGGAAAGAAAGAAAGAAAGATAAAGTAAAATAAAATAAGCTAAAATAAAATTGTTAAAATAAAAAATTATTATTAAGAAAAAAATTTTTTATAAAAAAAAAAAACAGATAGTACCCTAGATCAAATGGTGAAAGCAAAGCTATACAGACAAAATCTCACACAGAAGCATACACATACGCACTCACAAAAAGAGGAAAAGGGGAAAAAAATCATAAATCTTGCTCTCAAAGTCCTCCTCCTCAATTTGGGTGATTCGTTGTCTATTCAGGTATTCCACAGATGCAGGGTACATCAAGTTGATTGTGGAGCTTTAATCCGCTGCTTCTGAGGCTGCTGGGAGAGATTTCCCTTTCTCTTCTTTGTTCTCACAGCTCCCAGGGGCTCAGCTTTGGATTTGGCCCCGCCTCCGCGTGTGGGTGGCCGGATGGTGTCTGTTCTTCGCTCAGACAGGACGCGGTTAAAGGAGCAGCTGCTTAGGGGGCTGTGGTTCACTCAGGCCGGGGGGAGGGAGGGGTACGGAGTGCGGGGCAAGCCTGCGGCGGCAGAGGCCAGCGGGGCGTTGCACCAGCCTGAGGCGCGCCGTGCGTTCTCCCGGGGAAGTTGTCCCTGGATCCCAGGACGTGGGCAGTGGCGGGCTGCACAGGCTCCTGGGAGGCAAGGTGTGGAGAGTAACCTGTGCTTGCACACAGGCTTCTTGGTGGCTGTAGCAGTAGCCTTAGTGTCTCATGCCTGTCTCTGGGGTCCGCGCTTTTAGCAATGGCTCACGCCCGTCTCTGGAGCTCCTTTAAGCAGCGCCCTTAATCCCATCTCCTCGTGCATCAGGAAACAAAGAGGGAAGAAAAAGTCTCTTGCCTCTTTGGCAGGTCCAGACTTTTCCCCGGACTGCCTCCTGGCTAGCCGTGGTGCACTAACCCCTTCAGGCTGTGTTCACGCCGCCAACCCCAGTCTTCTCCCTGGGATCTGACTGAAGCCCGAGCCTCACCTCCCAGCCCTGCCCGCCCCGGCAGGTGTGGAGACAAGCCTCTCGGGCTGGTGAGTGCCGGTCGGCACCGATTCTCTGTGCGGGAATCTCTCCGCTTTGCCCTCCGCACCCCTGTGGCTGTGCTCTCCTCCGCAGCTCCGAAGCTCCCCCCTCCGCCTCCCGCAGTCTCCGCCCGCGAAGGGGCTTCTAGTGTGTGGAAACCTTTCTTCCTTCACGGCTCCCTCCCACTGGTGCAGGTCCCGTCCCTATCCTTTTGTCTCTGTTTATCCTTTTTTCTTCTGCCCTACCCAGGTACGTGGGGGGTTTCTTGCCTTTTGAGAGGTCTGAGGTCTTCTGCCAGCGTTCAGTAGGTGTTCTGTAGGAGTTGTTCCACGTGTAGATGTATTTCTGGTGTATCTGTGGGGAGGAAGGTGATCTCCGCGTCTTACTCTTCCGTCATCTTCCCCGGTGATCCGATATTAATTTATTTAAACATTATACTGTTAAAATCTGGGTGGGAAAGAATAAAAATAGATTATTCCTCATCACTGATCCATAGTACTATGCTAACCAATGAATGATATTTCACAATAGTGTCTCCCAAATTGATTTCCTTAATATTCATTTTGTTAATGACTGAGTATGATTTTCCGTTTGAAAATTAATCAATCTTATATATACCTAATACATATGACATAAGGAAGGGGCAGGTGTGTATGTGTGTGTGTGCATGTGCACACTGGTGTGTGAGTGCAAGAATATCTGTGTTGGAATGTGTGTGACTGTGGCATGCCTGGGTTTATAACGTGGTGGCTGCACTGACATATTTTAACTATAATAAAAGTACAAATATATAAAACTGAAACTCAAATTACCCAAAAGACTTCCATGAAAGAAAAGATTCTAGGAATTCCAAATTTTTAGACTAATCATATTCTTACCTTATTTCTCCATTGTTTTCCAAACTATTTCCTGGTGTGTAAGACCATGAGTAGCCAGATGGAGAAGTAAACAGAGATCACACAAGCTCCAAGTGTCAGCTTTTCTGCCCCAGAGCCATGATAATGACACGCTAACACCATCCATGGGTCTCTTAGACACGTGTGGCAAAGAGATGTTTTGTTTCAGAAAATTTGTGTGAGAGGCTTGGGAAGTGTAAGAGTTCATTATTCAGGAGGAAATCAGAAGATCACAATACACATCTCAGTGACAATCAAATGCCTGCTCCCTCTCCTGGGTGCCCTTATCGAATAAGCCATTCTGTCCAGGTGAGCATCTTAATGCTCTCCTCACACAAGTGGCCTTTACTAGAGTCATTCTCTTTTCTTCCCACTCAAGCCACCGCACACCTACGATTCTTTGTAATCCATATGGAAATCGGGCAACATAAATTTACTTCTTTACCATACATCCGTGGTAGAAAATAATATTTAGACAAACTAATGGCTACACAAAGTCTATCAAAGCAATATCACAACCATTTTACAGAGGTTTAAAAATCCTTCTGCCCCATCCTTTGAGATATTAACACTTAGAACTCTGCCTGGAACATCATCAAATCTCACTAAATGCCAGTCTTAGTAATCTTTCTAATGGATTTGCTCCATAGTACACTCAAGATAAATTGATGAATGTACCTATAAGAGAAACATTTTCTATGCTGTGTAAACCACCGAACCTTAATTCAAACAAAAACAGACATAGGCCCGGGGACTGCTTTAACTTAAATCACAAGTCTCCATGGCAGAAGGGCATGTAAATTGCTATGTGTATAGTGAATGGCTCCTTGATAAAAAGCATAGATACAATCCTAAAAAGCTGAACTTAAAATAGCACTCAATACAAGTGCTTTCAAAATGCAGATGGTCAATAGACACATGAAAACAAGCTCCACCTTGCTAATCATCAGGGAAAATGCAAATCAAAACCATAATGAGATACCACCTCACACCTGTCAGAATGGCCACCATCAAAAAGAACACAAATAACAAATGTTGGTGAGGATGTAAAAAAGGAAACCCTTGTACACTGTTGGTGGGAATATAAGTTGGTGCAGCCACTGTGGAAAACAGTATGGAAGTTTCTCAAAAAACTAAAAATAGAACTACCATGTGATGAAATAGAACTACCATGTGATGCAGCAGTTCCAGTCCTGGGTACATATATGAAGAAAATGAAGACACTAATTTGAAAAGATACATGCACCCCAATGTTCATAGCAGCATTATTTACAATTGCCAAGATATGGAAGCAACCTAAGTGTCCAGCATATATATATATACACACACACACACACACACACACACACGCACGTGCGCACAGTGGAATACTACTCAGCCATAAAAAAGAATGAAATTTTGCCATCTGAAGCCACGTAGATGGACTTGGAGGGCATTATGTTTAGAGAAATAAGTCAGACAGAGAAAGACAAATACTGTATGATATGACTTATAGGTGGAACCTAAAAAATATAACAAACTAGTGACGATAACACAAAAAGAAACAGACTCACAGTTACAGAGAACAAACTAATGGTTACTAGAGGTGGGGGGGAGTGGAAGGTACAAACTATTGGGTGTAAGATAGGCTCAAGGATGTATTGTGCAACACAGCAAATATAGCCAATATTTTATAATAACTATAAATGGAAAGTAACCTTTAAAATTGTATAAACATTTATAAAAACACAAGTCCCTTTAACTTCTATTATAAAATTGAGACTTATTTCCAAAGAAAGAGTATCAAAGTAAAAATATCAGAGATACAGAAGCCAAAAACTGTGCAAATGTAAGTAAGTACACATCTGTGTCTGTATACACACATGATCACAAAGAACAAGAGCTGCCAGGAGATGAAACTTAGAAGAACAGCTGTGCTTGGGACACTCCATGGCCTGAGAAAAGCAGAAACATATAAAATAGGTAACATTTACTTACGATGGCTTTAAAATTGAGGACTTCACCCTTGACAGCAAAAGTCAGCATAGTACCTCCTGTTCCACTCTTAGGTTTTGAAATTAATAGCAGTGAAGCTTCAGCAGGATGGAGGAAGCGACTGGTAAATTTCAGAGTTCAAACCAAACAGTAATTTGGTTTCTATTTAACAAAAGATAAAAACGAAAATATTGTAGTGAAAAAAGACAACAAGCATCTATTCAGTGTATGTGCCTAGTAACCACACCCTGCAAAATACTCACTTCTACAATAAAGTTAAAGATTGTTGCAGATCTTAGAAAGCCTACAATCTAGTTATTGCTGTCAGTCAAAACATCTTGATCCAGTATGTAAAACCTAAAGTTAACTTCCAAATGTATGTATAATCTACTGAATACTGGATTTTCTAAGAGCTAGCCACAGGAAATCATATATGTATTTTTGTTGTGAATTTCACAGGACATTCTGTGCTACTGTTTAGGCACATTCTTAGTTATATCAATGACTCTTTTTTTTTTTTTGGTATGCAGGCCTCTCACTGTTGTGGCCTCTCCTGTGCAGAGCACAGGCTCGGGACGCGCAGGCTCAGCGGCCATGGCTCACGGGCCCAGCCACTCCGCGGCATGTGGGATCCTCCCGGACCGGGGCACGAACCTGTGTCCCCTGCATCGGCAGGCGGACTCTCAACCACTGCGCCACCAGGGAAGCCCTATCAATGACTTTTGATTGCAGGGAGGAAAAAATGAGAAAGACAAAGAATTCAAAAAATACTTAAAACTGTGGTTGAAAATAAAATTCGAACCTCAAATCAAAATAACGGTATATAAGTAGCATGACTTTTATTTGAAAGATAGACTTAATTAAAAGAAAGAATAAGGAAAACATGTCCATCTCATTTAATCTTCAACTTTCTAGTCTAAACCATAGTAAAATGGTTAAAGAATCGATGGATTCGGAAATTTTACTTCCCAGTTTCTAGGGGAATGAGTCAACCATGGCACCCTGGCAGCCCTGCATAACAACACAGGCCACACACATGCAAGGCTTAACTGCAGTGGATATAAGTCTTGGCAGAAAGCTCTGTGATCCTCCCATAACATAAGAGCATGGAACTTCAGGAAGCACTGCTACAAGAACATTTTTCACTTGCCTCCCTATCTTCCCTGAGAGGCTGTCACCAGACAGTTTCTCACTGCCTCCTACATTCTGATGAGGTCTGAGGCTTGCTGCCTATCCTCCTACAGGGTAGAGTTACAGGCTAGAAACTGCTTAGTTGCAGCATGAAACTGGCTGTCAGCAACAGGTGTCCTACCATGCATGATGCAGTCACCTGGTCCCTGTTGTTTTGGTGTCATTCTGCATAAGGGACATGGAGATCTGGCCCCTTTGTTAACTCTTGCTTTCACTGTTTATAGAAGTAATGAGGTCTCTGAATAAAAAATGGGCTCAATGTTTCTTTAATGGCTGAGTCTTTCTGCCTTGCCTTGCTGCCACAACTGTGGGTGGTAAACCGTGGGGACCTTTTACCATTGCTTTTTCACTGGCTTTTAGCACAGTTAGCATTATACATCATATCACAGTTATTCTTTGTACAAACTATCACCTGTCACCTTCCCTTAGGATAGACACAGTTGGGAATGGAGATGGGAATAGATTCTCTCGGCATTATACTTTGGCTTAACTTCCCCAGAACCTTTGAGGAATCTCTGTTAAATGGGTGAGTTTAGGGAGCAGCATAGACTAAAATGAACGGAGGACTTTCAAAACCAATTGAAATATTCTCAAAATTGTTTCTTAGGGAAAATTACAACTCACAGCCAGCAGGAATGGGGAGGATTTTATTCAGATATAATATCACTAATCTCCTCAACCTCTGCTAAAGGATACTTTCTTGGCTATTATGAAAAGCTCATGGGCTTAAATTTAATTGAAAACAAAGAATATTTGACCTTGAGATCTTTTTTTGGGTGTATAGGCTCAAACTCTGTGTTAGGATACCTGTGAGTGACTTAGGATTTTTCTAGATATTCCAAAATTCATTACTAGATAAAGCCATTCACTCAATTAATATTTATAATTTATAATGTTCCAGACATTGTTTTAGGTTTGGGAGATGCAGTAATTGGGAAAAAAATACACTATTCCTGACCTCCTGGATCTTTCATTTTATAGGATATGGCAGACGTTAATTATGTCATCATAAAATAAATGTGAAAATTACAAATTATGTATGTGCTATGAAGTGATAGAAGGGCGCATAATGGAGAGTGTGATGTAGTCTGAAATATCAGAGGAAGTGATATGTTAGGTAGGATATGGAGGACGAGAATGAGTCAGGTAGAATTTGTAGGGGATGAAAGAAGGCATCCAAGCCAAGGCCTCTAAAATGAGAAATTATGATGTGTTTGAAGAAATTACCAAAGGCCAGTGGTGCTGAAGCTTAGAGAGCAAGGGTGTTAGTGATGCAAGATGTAGCTAAGAGCCAGCCATGAAAGGCCACATGGGCCATGTTGAGATATTCAGTCTATATCCTAATGGTGATGAAAAGCTATTGGAATATTTTAAGCAGAAGAGTAACATGACCAAATTTACATCAAAAAAATTATTGCCATTCTAATATAAAGAATGGATTGCAGAGAAACCTTTTAAGAATCTATTGTAGTAGCCCAGTTTAAAGATGATAGTACATTAAATTAGCATAGAGGAGAT